TTTATTTATTTATTCACCAATCAAGGGCCCGCAAGGGGCAACGACAACTAAAAAACAAACAATATAATCATGATTATAACAACATTGACTAGTAATGGTTGCATCAGGTGCAAAATTGACTTGATCCTCACTTGTAAAAGTTCTCAGTTTTGAAATACTGGTATAGTTCACGACGAAATATAAGCACCACGTATAATGTAATAATAATACAATATAAGGAAAAAACCAAGCTACTTTATACTGCAATGATCAGACGGATAATAGCAAACAAGTACATGTAATCATATTATCAATCAATATTATTACAAAAAGTATATATATTTTGTTGGCCTGGTAGCATAGGTACCAAGAAACGATGCCTATTGAGCAGTCTGGATAAAATGAAACTCTGAGAAACCAGCTTGCTCGGTCCTGTACCCCAAGCACCCAAGACAGCTTGCAGGAGGTAAACTTCATTTGTTGGCCTAACTACTTGGAGCACCAAGGGACGGTGCCGAATGAACAGTGTGACAATGCAGACTGTCAGTCTTGTACCCCAAGTAGCCAAGACAGCTTGGGGGTATAAAGGATCCTAGTAATTAACTTAAAATGTAATGCATAAAGATACAATTCTTCAGAAATCAGATTCCATTGTTCTGAATCATTTTACAAATTTGAGTAAGAATTTCAACATTTTCATTGGTCATTAACCATATTAATTTTTGGTCATTGTCCATCTTATCAAAATTCTTACAATATTTTTCTATTATCTTATACAAAATAGCCCTTTCTTCCTTTGCATATAATATGAAATTTTGAAACATGTATACAGCACTAGCGGTTGGCACTGCATGTACATGAAATTCTGTACTAAGTAAACTGACGCTGATCAATAATATCATTAAGATTTTTTAAGCGATCATCATGTATTTGCTCAATTTGATGAGAGTTATATATGTTTCTTCTAAGTATATAAGAAATGTAGCCTATATTCATTTTATATAATTTTCTAAAAAATTTTACCACAAAACATTTTTTATCGGCCAGTTCAGATATATGGGGACAGTTTCTCAAGAAAAATTTAAAATCACAAGTTTTTACCAAATTCTATAGCCTAAAAACTTAGGACTTTTCAACTTTATATATACAACCATTTCCCACGGTAAATTAAAGTCCAGATTATTTCTATATAGGCCTAATATATAATATCATTGTCAGCTTCTTCATCAATAAAAATAGAACTTGTAATTTACTTACATTGTCATTGGTCATTTACAAAATTGTTTTGTTAAAAACATGTTGATTGTACACACAAGTACCCTAAAGATGCTTGAGTTTCTGATTGACAATATCTATGTGGTTTTTGGATACCAGGTCTTCCGACAATCTATTATAACGTGTAACTTTAGGGTTCGGTTTTAAGGGATACAGGGTCTTAATATTATATAAGTTTATAAATGAGACTTTCCTATAGCTCTATCTGAGCATACAATTAATAACTGGAATTAATATTATTTACAACTATTATAATATATTATTTATTATTTATACATGGGACCCTTGTCCATGTTATTTTTTTTTCATATTAGCAAAGGGATACAACCGGAGGTTTTTTGTCTATTATGACTGGGCTCCCTGCACATGGTTCCGAAACCAAGTTCCTTTTGTAACGAGTACTCGGTACCTCACCCTTACTCAGGATTACTACACCTTGCATTTACAAGGCCGTAACTACCATTGAGGCAAGTGAGGCAAATGCCTCACTAAATTTTTAGAGTTTTTTGAAAAGTGAAAAAGTTTTACGTGGTACTTATGTGTGTCTTCGTGCTAAATCAATATTTTCAACTTTTATTTCCATTTCTGTCAATCCTTCATCTCAATAGGTGCCTCATTTTCATTTAGAGCACATGTAAAATTTAATTCAAAATGTTTATTTTGTAAATTATTTGATTATTTAACACCCCATCTAAGAATTTCTCATTCATATTTAAACGCTTGCCGATGGAGGGCTGCAAGTTTTAAATCGGTACTGGGCTTCCAGGATCACTGAAGATGATTGAACGGTGAGGGGTCTTTTTTGTGCCATCACTTACTGTGACATAGGATCTCGGATTTTACGGTCTCATCCGAAGAACCTGTCTCTACATCCCGCAGTGGGATTCGAACCCGTGATGGAAGGATCAATTCCTTAGTCTGCGACTTTTGAGCATACGCTCTATCCACTGCGCCATGCGGGCGACGAATCAAAACGTAAAAACTCTAAGATTATTTTTTTTATTTTCTAATACCCAGGTTTCAGGACCTCCCTCCCCTTCGAAACATCAATCACAGGTCATGCCCCGTCTGAGACTAGGAATGCCCAGCACCCTTGCCTCACTAAAAATTTGAGCCTAGTTACGGCCTTGATTTACCTTGGCTTGCCATAATTATATTAGAGATGTGATGTAACTTAGATGTGGATATAGATGGGAGCTTTGTACCCTAGCCTCTATTTTTTTCACTTTTTTAAAAAACTCCTGCATTAATATTACCTTCTACTCTCACTTTTCTTATCAACTTCTTTCTTCTTCTACGAGTTTATGAATGAATTCTCAAAGCTTTATATAGCCAGGGCTATACTTATCCAAACAGGGGTGAACAGGATTACGGAATGTTCCATTAGTCCGAGTCATACCAGTGTTTGAAAGGATAGGCCCATTGTTCTAGTCACTTATTCATTACACTATAATTCCCATGGGTACTCAGGGACGTAGCAACAGAGGGGTTAGGGGGGCCTGCCCCCCCCCCCACTTTTTTTGCCAACAATACTTTTACTATTGAAAATGATCATTGAAAGGCTGGTAGCCCCCCCCCCCCCCCACACACACACACACTTTATATTAAAGTAAAGTAAAACGAAGGAAATATAGTATTTTAAGTTTAAAAATGGATATTGAAAGAAATTGCTAGTGAAAAAAGTTTGCATCTAGCCCCCCCCCCCCCCTCCACGAAATAGGATTTTCGACTTTGGGCAATTTTCCTTTTTTTTTTTTGCTTGTCAGCTTTTTCAGGTAAGTAAAAAAAAAAATTCTGTGGCTGGCCCCCCACTTTCAAAACCGATGCTGCGTGCCTGGTACCAGTTGCGTTACAATGACCTTGTCTTCAAATACAATCATTTATATATCATTGAGTATATCACTGAGTCAAATGCTGACTGACGTTTTTCATACTAATTGTTAGGCCATACTTAATTTTCTCCGTTACTTCCAGATCATGACAAGGCGCACACGGCGGATGTGACCGCTCGGCGGGGGGATGCTCACTCCTCCAAGGCACCTGATTTTTGGGAGGTCCGTGTTTGCTCTGTTCCTATTTTGTATTGTTTTATGGACTTTTGAGCTTGAATAATGTTCGTTGTCTCAATATATTTCATCAAGTTAATTAAGAGCGATTCCTGTAGCGTAATGTAGCAGCGTACATGTAATAGTGATCTCGATATTTAAAACATTTTTTGAATGCACAATGAAAATAAATTTTTGGTATTTGAAAAGTGAAAAATAATAATACTTAAAATATGAAGATGAAAGTTCAATAACCTGATGTTTTCGACTTTGTACCAAAGAATTTTTTTTAAAAATATAAAACAATAAACTTCAATATGACAAATTTCATGTCATGATTTCACCCAATATTTGCTTTCATTAAATTCTTTTCATGCGTTAAATGAGAAAACAAATTAATTTTATGATTTTCAAAAGAATTTTGATATACATGTATATTCATGTAGTTAACATGCCTGAAATATTTAGGATTTGATTCGTCAGGTTTTCACAACCTATCAAAACAAATACTCATATAAAAAATAAAATATGTAATCTGTCAACTACATACCTTCTTCAAGTACATGTAAATTAAATTTATACAATTCAGCAAAGATCGTAATATAAATGAAACCAAGGCCGTTAGATATTCGTTAAACGGACACATAAAAAAGAGACAAGTGTTAAAACATATGCTAGCTCATTTGTTATAATATATTCATTGAATAAAATTAATATTTTCACAAGTTTTATTCTCACTGTGTGCAGAATCACAAAGAACCAAAAATTCTATGTTTTTCTTGGTTTGAAATTAAAAAAAAATATTTCCCTGGTGAGAGAGGGATTTTAGAAATATATATTCATATTTATAGTGCCAAGGTCATCTGAACATAATACCGTAAATCTGGAAATATTTGCTGTAGATAAATTTTAAGCAAATTTGCGATTTCATTGCATTCGCAAAAATATTTTTCTTAAAAATAAATTACCAATAAGAAAATGTAAACAAAACAGTGGTCATTCGCAAAATTTTGAAACGTAAAAATTAATCAACAGCATTTTGACCCGAATTCGCAAAATAAAATCGACGTAAAAATTTTCAGATTTACAGTATGCGATTTTTTATTTATTCATTTTGATAAATAACTTCACTTAATACCTGTATGAGTTTGGGTATACCGTTGTAAACTCACACATTCTTGACATCATAAATTTCCCTATATTTTCAGATGGCATTTTTTTTTTATAGTTCTGCAATATTAATGGGTCGATTTTGGATGAGGGATGTGCATGGCCATTGACCCAGAAATTTACTTTATCGATGGAACTCTCGCCAACATTTCAATTCATTAAGCAATAGTATGAAAATCTTTAAAATGATGTCATTCATAATTACAAGTATATGTGCGATATGTGTAAGTTGCAGAATTTTATCTCCACTGGTATCAAATTAAAAATTTTAGTGATGCATTCCATTTGCCTCACTTGTCTCAGCTCTGTTTGAAATAATGATACCCCAACAATAAACCAGGCTGTGGATATAAATACGACTGAAATATCCTAAGAAAGACAACCATTGCAGAACATTTAGGACGATTTGTTTTCAACCAAAACGAGATTTGCCTTTTCTTTCATTTCCTTTTTGTATACATGTATAGTGATTACGTAAAAACAAATATCAAATATAATGCGGTTTTTTTAACCAGTAAGATCACTTTTTACATGGTAATGTTTTCAATAAGCGAAAAAGATACTTTTTCATTTTGTGTATAAATGAATTTTCAGGTAAACTAGAAGTTTTCTAAAAATATATGTCATTATACAAACACAACCAAACACTATGATTTTTTTGAATATTTTTTTAATGTGTTAGACTTCCATCATAACTTCTCTATTTGATCCCAAGTCCCTACAATGGCCTCAGAGCGATATGGTTTCTTTGGTCTTTTAAGTTCCCTCATCTGAATGCTTTCTCTTTGTTTCAACTATAAGAAAACAATTTTTAAAAAATAGCATTAAAATCCTGCTCTCAATATTCCAAAAATTCTTGAATATACAAAACATCTTTATTCTTTTTGATGAGATTCCCACAATTGAGTCAATACAGTAAAGCTTGGCTTTAAAGAACTCTGTTGTAGGGAAATTTCTGTTATAAGAACTTTTTTTTAAGCAAGGCAAGTTTTTCTATCTTTTATGTTCTTTAAAATGGATGAAGAAATTATGTCATAATGAAGTAATGTTTAGGAGTTCTAGTGACTTCCCTGTAAGTGAATTTAACCACTCCATAAACTTAAGAATTTTTAATTTATATGTATATCAAAAATGGTAATTAAATTAATTATAAGCGATACACTTGAAAAAACAAAACTTTCAATTTTATGAGAAAAGGATCAATATAAAAATACTTTTCTGCATAAATTGCCAGTTTTACATTAAAGACCTAGTTTAATGACCATAAACAAGGTAAATTTCATCAGTTGTTGATTGCACAATATATAGAATTAATCTTGTATATGGTGCTTCTAAAATTTCTATGTTTAAAAAAAAAATGATACCCAATGGGAATATTTTACCAGGAAAGTTTTATCTTGGCTCAAGTTATAAACCCTTAAATATGAATTCCCTGTTAACAGTACTATAAAAGTTTATAAATATTATACACATAATTACTAAACATGTACCTTTCTTTGTCGTCGAAGATCTTCCTCTTTCATTCTGAGATTGTGATCATGAGCAAAAACTTTTAGAATTTTCTCAAAACTAACATCAGATTCTGAGGGGCCTCTCCCTCTTTCCTCTGCTGAAGATTTTAGTCTCTCCTCTAATGAATTTTCTCCATTGTCCTCTAATGAATTGTCTTCTTTTGGACTAGACTCTGTTGATTCTTCTGACTGCTGTTTTAACATTGAGCTCTTTTTGGCTATATAACATTTTGCAAATCTGAAAGTTTAAAAAGATAATTTTATATGTTCCACATACATGTACTGTAAACCAACTTTTATTATTTTTGGTAACTTTTGGGCAACTTCATCCATGATCTGTCAGTTTGAAATCTATCTACTAAAAAATTTTTGCAATCAAGGAATTATTCTTTATTAATACACAGTTAAAATTAGAAAGTTTAGAGGAGAAATTTTCCAAAGTAAAAGAATGGTTAAATTGTAAAGAATATATGAAAGTTCAATGCTTTACAGTAACCTGGCAGTGACATTAAATAAAAACATTAAAATTAAAATATATTTTTGTTCTATTTAATCTATTTCTCTTTTATTTCAAAATAAATTTCATTCAAAATACTGTGAAATCACAAATTTAATTTTAATTTTCGTTGTTTTCGAGGTATGACGAGACCCACGAATTTATGTCCAACATGAAATGTCAAATATTACATACATAAGTACAAATCAATTCTTGATCCACGAAATCAAATCCCCATTAACCAAGAAATTTTCCTCAAACCACGAAAATTTGACCCCACAAAAATATGTGATTTTACAGTATATGAGAAAGTTGTACATAACTCAGACTTACTTTTGACTCAGGGTGTCTACATTGCTCTCTAAATTCACAACCTCTGGGGTGCTATATTCATCATAAAATTTTCTGGAAGAAACCACAGCATGCAAAAGGAATTAAAAAACCTCCATAAAAAAAATCATCTCTGTAAAGCCTTGATTTTCTAAATCTACTCAAAATTTTCATTTCTTAACTGTTACTTCTTTACCGCATACTTTAATATAAGATTTCATTGCAAAGATTTTGATAAATCAACTAAAGAAAAGAATGGGAGTTAAATGACTTCACCATCATTTGATGACATGGCAAAACTTTCCATGGAGTTAAGCAAATTGATCAATATCAATTACATTCTGTATATACTATATATATTTGATAAATATCATGGTTTTATTTGTATTTACATTCTAATTAAGTCTTCAGGATAATTAATTCTTTTAATTCTGCTGGATATATCTGGCTCTTTCCTTTCAGCATCAAATGTGTCTAATGGAGGAAAAGCTTCATAAACATTATACCAAATGGGAATCTTTTCTCTCCTCAAAGCACCTGATCTTATAAGTCCTTGTGTTCTGTAAAGAAAAAGAAATGTATTTAATTGGTAATATATCCTCAGGAATGTTTCAGTTACTGCAGAACTTAACATCTCATTATATGTAACTGCAATCTCTGATACATGCATACCACATCAAAAGACAAGTGAACCCACCCACCTAGAAAAAAATAATTACTCTTGAAATAATTGATATATTTTGTCAAACAATTTATTATTCATAATTTATTGAGATGACACATTCCACATGATAAAATATCATTCATTCAAATTCTTGAAAGTACTATGGTGATCAGATAATATGGCAATTCTGAGGCCGGTTCAACAGAGCGAGCGCTCACGAACATTTCTGTTGGAGGTATAAGTAATTTCTCTGAGCGCTCGCGAATATTAGCTCTGTTGAACAGACCTCTGCAGGTCTGGAACTGGTTTGAATTCCCTCTATCCTCATTTTTATTTTGTGACCTATACATAGGATGTGTTACCTGCAATAATGTAGCCCTCGCTCCTTTTTTTGGGGGGGAGGGGGGGGTTATCAGAAAAAAAAATGGAGAGGGCTACATTATTGCCAGCCAAGGATGAGCTATATTTGCCTATGATTTGAACTGGTGTGATCAATTTTGGACAACTTAATTTTAACTTATGAACCAAACACTGTGATACAGAGTGATAGATCAATCATAATTTTTAACAAAATATTTTTTCTTTCTCTCAGAATTTTTCAACTTTGATTTTTTTTTCAAATGTATAAAAGAAATTGAGTACCTTTTGTATATAGTTCCTAGAAATTGTCCTCGAGAAGATGCCATGTTTTTAAACTGGTGTTTCTGTTTAAAGCAAGGGCACCAGTTTTTTTTAAAGTAACTTGTACTTCATCCATTTCGAGTTAGAATTCCCGATTGTTTCTAAATGCAAAATAACTTACAACTATCATATTTTAGGTCCTATATTTTACGCCTAAAACTTTTTTTTTTGTTTATTTTTTATAAAATTTGATAGCCAATAACTGCATAGCATAAATTTTATCGTGCACCAGTTCACGGGCACTGGAAGTTTAACCATCACGGCCCGGATATGGGACAGTAACTTTTAAGCTCACCTGAGATGAAAAATCAAGTGAACTTTTCTGACCACCCGTTGTCCGTCCGTCTCCCCCGGGAGTAGGGCGGGGCCACAATAGGGAATCTGAGTTTTACATTGATATACTGTGATAAATATGGGGAAAATCTTCAAAAATCTCCCCAAGAACCACTTGGCCTAAAAGCTGAAACTTATGTGGAAGCACCCTGGGGTAGTGTATATTTTAGATTGTCCAAATCATGACCCCTGGGGGTAGGGTCTGGTCACAGTTGGTATCACAAGGGGGGGGGAGGGGGAATCTGGTAAAGAACAGCATGGCCAAAGTTACTCAGGTAAGGGATGTTACATATGTAATTGCCCCTGGGCCTCTTGTTATTAATCTACATGTAAAGGTATGGAACATATATTTTTTATGTCCCCGTAATCGCAGTTTCGGGGGTTATATTATAATGGTTTTTGCCTTGTCCGTCCGTCTGTCTGTCTAGATGTCTGTCCGCGAAAAAACTCTAACATACCTTGCCCATTACTTTCGACTGGGTGGGACTATGGCTTTCATATTCCACAGGTGTATTCCTTATCCTTATGACAATACCTTTCATTTGATACCAACAACTTTGACCTTGACCCTGGAGTTTGACCTACTTTTTAAAGGCTATAACCTTGGCAATAATTTTTGAACGGTTAGGGCTAGGGATTCCATACTTCACAAATATTATCTTTGTGACAGGACCTTTCTTTAGAAAATAACAACCTTGACTCGACCCTTTGACCTTGACCCCGGAGTTTGATCTACATTTTAAAAAACGTTAACTTTGGCCATAACTTTTGACCAGGTGGTGCTAGGGTTTTATATTTCACATTTGTATTTTTTGTGAGAAGGCCTTACTTTGGGTGCTAACATGTTTGATTTGCATTTGAGAAAATTTAACCTGAATTCGCTACGTTGCCATACAGGGGCTTCAGTTTTTCATAAACACACCCTGTTTTAAATGCGAAAATCATGGGACATGTAATTTTTTTTTTAATATATGAGATTTTTTTGTATTGGTCCAATCATTGTGTTAAAATTTGCCTAAATAGGGGGGGGGGGGGGGGCTCAGTGAATAATGCACTCCCCAGGTAGCTTAATTATCACATTGACCTCAAAAACAGCAATAATTGTCTAATATATATAATTCAGATTCCCATTTTCGTTTAATAATGTTTTATTGTATAAACGTATGAAAACATATCGGGTTTACTAATATGTGATATACATTTCCTTAACCCATTGTAACATTCATTTCAGTTATTTTCTGTACAAGATATATTAAATAATGAGCGAGTCAATAATAGTTACATGTTTCATATATCAAACAAAGCATTATTATTTGTAGTATAAATGTACAAGGATTTCCGAGAACCTGCGATGAGTTTTTGGATATTAAGCAAGTATTCCTGATTCCAGTTTGATTTCATAAGGAACGGAAGTCAGGGGCTGGAGAGGGTCCACTTGTCCCATCACTACGTACTTGTCCATCTCCTCTGTCACAGACGAGTCTAAAAATAATAGGTGACCGTTATAAATCAAAGAATTCCATACCAGTACAAAAAAAATTCGACAAAGTAAAATTCAAACCGTGTGAAACGAAACGAAGCTCCAAAGAGCTCTTTTACTTTTTGTTTTGGGTGATGATTGAACTTTTTACCCACCTGCAACTAAAGAAAAGGCCATTCCACGGGCCATGGCTGTACGACAGAATCGGTCGATAATACCATTTGAACCCAGGTCCGTCACTTTGTTGGACTGCCTGGCCACAAAGGTTTTCAGATTGCCAGTCGGTATTGGTCCTGCCTGAAACCAATGATAAGAAACTTAAAATAACGGTAAAATAATTTGATGTTTTACACATATTCATTATCTCTTGTTGATGGCTTGAATTTCAACTTGAATTGAACTTAAATTAAATGATACGAAATGATTACCCAAGAAATGGAAGATCGGAGCTCAAGTTCCTGAGAGAAATCAAAGAGACTGGTTGGTGCGTCCAGTATGAAACACAAATGTTTCTTATTGGCCCAGAATGCCCTGTTCCGTTTATTTTTCTCCAGGGTTTCGCTCGTGATTCCTGGCTCGCTGACCTCTACACGGATTGCTTGTTTGTCCTGTTAAAAGATTTGGCTTATATATTTCATCATGTCAAATAATACGCATCGCCAAAACTTAAACATATTAAGGGAGTAAATCGTAATTGACCACATCTTCTCATCGGTGTAATTAATATACATGTATCCAAGAACGTGAAGGACCTACCGCTCCAAAGTCGATCATGGAGAAGCTCTGGTCGTATCCGGCGGCAGTAAGGGAGCGGTCCTTGGACATCAGAAAGCCCACTTTGTTGTTGTTGGAGACGAAGCCTCGCTCGTTCACAACACTGCCATCAGCCAGGGACGTGTTCCAAGAGGCCTTGGTCACATCCTTCAAAGAGAACCAGAGTGAGGTTAAAGAGGACAGCCTCTTTCTCAAACTTATGTTCCAGTTAACTTGAAAGCTTAACGGTCTTCGAAGTATAGATAATCGGATGATGCAGATTATTTATAATTCATTGTAGGTTCCTTTGATGTACCAAATTTTGCTTTTTTTTAAACACGTTATGGTTATTAGATTTTTTAACGAAAGCTTAACGCTTTCTTGACCGATCGAAAAACTGCAACTTAGAATTAAAAGATAAGAAAATATGCATGTAAATAGGGATTAAAACATTGACCATGACCATTGAAAAGTGAGAGCCGGTGACTGTCCGGTCTTACAAAGTAGTCTCAACTATCAGATGACTATTTTGAGCCTGACAGGAAATAATTTTAAACAAAATTGCAATTAGGGAGAACTTTACGTTAATCGCTCTCCTCTTTTGGGGTAAGCTGATACTTCCTTTTCTAGGTAGTAACCTTTGAAGAATTAAGTTCGAAAAATATATAGAAAACAATGTAATTCTTAAAATGATACTAGTATTTGCTATTGCATCAAAACAGAATACAGAAATGCATTTAAAAAGCTAATAAAAATCTCTTTTCATCATAGAGATTTTTTAAAAAAAAATTATTTAGTTGGCTTTTGCAATGCCATGTTTTTAAATTCATTGCATCTGCATGCGCACAAAACGTTAATAATTTAGAATTAGACTACTAGTATATTGTCTTGGATATTTTCCCCTTTAATAAACATGAAGCGATTTTATTCTTTCATTGATTGATTTATTTATCACTTTTAGTTATTTATTTGAGCCGACAAGAAAATTAATTAATTTTTCTGTCATCATGATCACAATACCTACCGACCAGTCCTTGTTCTCTTTATTCTGTCCTCGTCTCCTACCCCAGCGTCTTTTGTTGCCCTGCCCCGACACACAGTATACCAACAAACAAACCAAGGAGAGTACAACTAAAGTTCTCATTTTCTGTGAAGAGTGCTACTTACTATAAGCGATATCAGAGATACTAACGACTAAGTGGGTAAGCCTTGGTTTTTATCGGCCTGTAGCTTGAGGCTTGGTCAGTAATGACGATAGCAGCTTACACGAGTCATCATGTTACGAGCAAAAAAACACTGATGTTACATACAGCAATGACCAATCAATGGCCATGCACACCCACCCATGGGACTTCCAAAACAAATTGATAAGGATATACCCATAAAATTTGTTCAAAGTTATATTTCAGTGTCTTGTATAAAACAAAAAAGTATTGTGTAAAAAGAAATGAGTATTCAAAATTTCAATATGTATATGTTTTTGTTTTCGATTTGTAAAGAAAATACATGTATAAGAGAAATAGCGAACAAACGATTAATACAATGCCTTTACATTTTTCTGTCTGGTTGGAGCCTTAACTTGTATATGCAGCTGCATTTCATTCAGTTCTATAGTACAAATTTATATTTAATAATTTATGTTGAATCCTTTTTATGCATCAATCTTGTTCTCTTACACTAGTGTAGATTTTCGGACTAGAACACATTGTTCTTGCAATCCTATATCGGATAAAAAAAAGGGGTACCTGTAAAGTGCGAAACGAAATAGAAACGAAACGAAACGAAACGAACTGAAACGAAACGAAATCTGCCGAAACGAAACGAAATCTACCGAAACGAAACGAAACCTACCGAAACGAAACGAAATCAAGACGAAACGAAACGAAATCAAAAACGAAACCTGCCGAAACGAAACGAAACAAAACTATCAAAATGTTTTTTTTTTCTTTTCAAATCAAGGTACATGTATATAATTATATATGTGTAACTGCATGTGGACTTTATTTTTTATTTCAAACAGAATTTATATATTCATGCACTTGATAATATAAAATTTAATTACCGATAAATTATGCTCCCTTCTCAGTCTAATGATGTGTTTATATGTTTGCCAGCTGAAAATATGCACGAGCGTACTATGCATGTGCAATTTCAATATGTGAGTATTTTCTAATTTTTAAATCTTACTCTTATTTTCAGTCCTTATTTATCTAGATACAACATATCTATCAAAATTGATGTGTTACATGTACGTAAAGGCTCGTTTATGTACGGTTGTTCAATTATACATGTAACTCCAACCGGCTACGTCCTATTTTTCTCGAGGTAATTTTCGAGGAAGAATTTGCAATAAAGAGGCTCGACCAGAGACGTCTAAAACGATTTAACTGACAAGAATAAAGTCTCTCGAAGCGAACAATGTCATCTTTAAGTAGGTAAATTATTCAATAAGATATTAAAAAAAATATGACATAGGCGTCGGAACAAAACTTATTAGCACTTTTTTTGCAAAGATATATATAATATACGCATTGAAAATTGGGGTTTACCTTTTTTACCCCCCCCCCCCCACACACTTTCAATTGCCTTCCGACGCCTATGTATGAGCTTGAAGCGAAACAATTGCCTGTGGTGCTTGAACTATATAAATTTCATATGAAGTAAAAGTAGACCATATAAACATTCTGAAAGTTTCGTTTCGGCAGGTTTCGTTTTGATTTCGTTTCGTTTCGTCTTGATTTCGTTTCGTTTCGGTAGATTTCGTTTCGTTTCGGCAGATTTCGTTTCGTTTCAGTTCGTTTCGTTTCGTTTCGTTTCTATTTCGTTTCGCACTTTACAGGTACCCAAAAAAAAGTTCAGTAATATAATATACCCAGTAAGGCAGCAGTGAGGAATTCTATGATTGTTATTTTCGTCTAGAACAACATGGGTCACTTGGTGTGAGTCAGTTCACGGATTACTAGACATATATCAACACATTAACACACATATGATACAGAATAATAATTTTCACAAAAAAAAGTTCAATAATACAATATACCCAGTAAGGCAGCAGTGAGGAATTCTATGATTGTTATTTTCATCTAGAACAACATGGGTCACTTGGTGTGAGTCAGTTCACCAATCAAGCTTCAAGCATTGCGATAGTTCGCGTAACTCACGGAAGAATCGCTGTTGTTACCGTCTATTAGAAGGTAACCTGACAAACAACAACAACCCGAAACCCCAAGGAGAAAAAAATAACTATAAAAGTACCTGCCGAACAATAAACCACAAATATATCTAGTAATATCTATGATTATTGTCTTTATTCGTAAATTGTATTAGTTTATTTATTGGAAACAAAACTTATTAGCCTCTTTAAAAGTAATAGCAAAAGCTTAATATCAGAATATATTTTGTTTTTGTGTTTCAGGATCACAGTAATAATTATGTAATTAATTTATGCATGTATACATTATGTTTTAAAGTGGTGTGATTGGTTCTACCTTGGTTTTTATGTAAATTTCTTGCATCTGGTAGTGACATTTATAGATCTAAATATTGTCCAATCATTCTCTGATAAATATCTTAAATACTCAGGGTAACATTAATTATTCCATGTTGACATGTTTCCTGGCATTGTATAACAGTACCCTTTATATAGCTATAAATGCCTATAACCAGTCGTCATTTACATATGTCACAGGTAGATTTGTGGCCACCTTGTAGCTGGGGCTCGTCTAAGCCTAATAAGTATATATATATGATATCGGGACTAGTGTTGCTCCAAGACATAGGACTTTATAATTAGAAGGTTATTAGCAGACAATATTCTTGTATTCATTTGAAGCAAAAAACTGAATTGTCTACGAATGTTCCGTAAAATCGAACATGACAGACAGAAATGGTAGGGTGGGTGTGACCTATGGATATGAGATGCTTATTCTTTTATGTCACCTGATCTTATCTTCGATGTTTCTATATGTCCACGTTTTTTCTATTCCCCGATGTGTATAGATGGACTTTGACCACGATTACTGATTGGTTTTCTAAAATTAACAGCATCTATTTTTCTGTGTGTAAATTGAAGTATAATGAACGATGGGTTGATCAGAATATATTAAAAAAAAAATTATGGTCAAAGTTAAAGCTTACGTGATGAAGCCATTTTATTGTTTGCTGACATAACGTCAAAGTGAATCGGAAGAGACTCTATAGTATGAACGATGTCCTTGACTACACCTACATCTAGGCGCATTGTTTAAAAGATTCCATCACATTCACACTTGCATAAATGTGGACAAGTATTGTATACTTTAACTTTTCAATCAATTTTCAATGTATATATTTATCCCACTGTGGGACGTGGAGACTGTCCTTCGAAAGAGACCGTATAAACCGAGGTCCCGTGTCGCAGTAGGTGCTGGCACGAAAAAGATCCCTCACTGCTCAATAGACCTCAGTGCGGAGCATGGGACAAAACTTACTGGCCTGGGGGCCATAAAACTTAGACGAGATCACTTTTGATCTCAGTCTCACTAAGTTTTATGGCCCCCAGGCCAGCTCTCCACCAGCAAGTGGTGACGTCTCCATATGAGTAAAAAAACTCTCGAGAGGAACATTAAACAACAAACAATCAATCAATCAAGTGTATATTTTCATTCATAATAAAAACAATAATTTATAGATATATACAAAAGCTAATAACAATAAAATCATATTGCAATAGGATCTTTGTATAAAGATCAATAACTAGTCATTCTTGGCATTGACTGTAAAACATTGTTCTAATACAATACATATTTTTTGGCAAGTACATGAAAGAGAGTGATTTCTATGAAATTTCAATTTTTGGTATTGAGAATTTCTTTGAGTTTCCTTTGGATGAAATACTTTGGTCACTCTCTTTGCTTTCATCACTGGAAGAATCCGTAGATAATTTACTCTTCAGTTCTGGTCGTGATTTTTTGTTTTTCATGAGCTGGTTTATAACTGGTCTTGTTAGTTTATTTTCACCCATGCTCTGTGACCTATGAACTGGAGACAGGGTCACGGGAGAGGGTGACTTTTTGTCCTTTAAACTCTCACATGACAGATGTAGGTCTTGAACACTAAGTTCAGAGACAGAACGACTGTCAGAGGTATGCCCATCACGTGATAACGAATGGAGAAAACTAATGGCAATAGATGTCTTCCGGAATGCGCGCCCATACATACTGTCGCTATGGTCACGGTCCGAAATATGAGATTCTGTTGGAGAACAAGGTCTTCCAGTATCTTGAGACTGCCGCCATTTTTCTTGTAAACTGAAAAGGATAAAAGGTATTAAAATATCTTCCAACTGTTGAAAAATAGGAAAACATTTGGCAAGAAAAAAAGTTATACTTTATCATGGTTTGTGGAAGTTTTTTCGTGTATCCCGTTTTTCCGATCAACCAGTAAGTCTTCTGAAGACCTTTGCCCTGTAAACAATAAATTTATTTATTTAACACAATATAAAATTTTCAAATTGTACATTACAGATATAATATGTCTTGATTCAACACTAAGAAGTCCCAATAAGAATAACAAAATCTGAAAAATAGTCATTTTGATGTCCTTTTATTGGGAGAGGGAAGGGTCTAGCTTAAATTTCAAAACGCAACAATTTTATCTTCAAAGGCAAGAAGATATACATGGCTCCATTTTGAAAAATTCATTTTAAATAAGTGCTTTTTGTTCGTTTTGAAATCCAAATTCGTTGACTCACCTTGCTCTCCATTTTGAATTAATCGTTAATTATAAAAAATATATACATTGTTCAGATAAACGTATTTTCTTTTAAGTAAGAACTTAATCGTTTTGCGTTTGCTTTATTTAAGAATTAGGATGGTCGCCAGCGTGGCGGAGTGGTTAGTGCGCCAGCTTTAGAGTCGCGGAGTAATAAAGGAGTTGATCCTTACGTCGCCGATTCGAGGAACAGAGAGACCGGTCCTTCGGATGAGACCGTATAAACCGATATCCGGTGTCGTAGTAGGCGCTGGCACGGCTCAATGACCGTAAGTGCCGAATGTAGGACAAAATTTGTAGCTCTCCACCGGCAAAGCGGCGTCTCCTTATCATTAAAAAATTCTTGAAAGGGGCGTCAAACAACATGATGGTTGATGTAAGTTGATTATATCAAATTAAAGGAATTTAATCGAATTAAAGGATTTTAAATTACCAGTACAAGAACATATCGGAAAATGTTTTAATTTGATTTACATCTGCTGGAATTTGTGGCGTCGAAAGCATACATTCTTTGAAAATAAATGCTTTTTGCTACATATATGTCGCAAAATGAGTTCAGAAAAAAAATCGTTCAGACTTTCTATATTAAAAGTAGATAGAAATGTTGCTGAATTTATTAACTGTACAATATATTAATGTTAGCTATATAATTATTCGAGAGAATCGGATTCATAAAATTCCCTCCAAAGACACAGATTTTTCTTCACTCTATGAAAAGTAAAAAAAGAACTACAGTTGCTCCAGCTTAAAAAATCCTTAAAATTACCTTAACATCTATAATCCCCCGCTCCATCATCATAAACCCCCATCCAAGTTCCTGGAGAGCAGAATTCATAGCAGCACTAATGTGGATATGAAGAGCTATTAATAAACAATGAGTAAATATATGTATAAAATGTTTCTTCTTATGCAAGAAATGAGAAAGTTATGAACGAATCAACTTTGAATACTTTGTCGATTTAGATATTTTCTGGAGCTGTTATTAACGAATTGAATTCTCCTTTTTTCAATTAAAATTGATATTTCCGCTTTAGACGTTAAAATATGAATATTTGCGATTACGGGGCAAAGAAAAACATCAAGTGCATACCTTTTCCTGTAGATTCCATTCTTGAAGCCATATTTACTGTATCCCCAAACAGACAGTATCTTGGCATGGCGGTACCCACCACCCCCGCGGCACACCCCCCTGTATGAAGACCGATCCTCAGCTGAAGCTTGGATCCCGGGAGGTGGCGAATCTTAAAGTTTGTCACTCCGTTTAATAAGTCCAGTGCCATGTTAGCTATTTCCCCACAATGTTTCTTGCCATTTCTTCTCGGAAGACCACTGACACACATGTAGGCATCACCAATTGTTTCAACCTTTGGCAAAGAATAACTTTATAATTTAGCAATGACGATGCAGATTTTAACCAGATTAATAGGTAAGTTACTAAAGATTAAATGCATAAAAATGTTGACACAACATACCTTGTACACATCATGACGCGCAATAATCTCGTCAAAAGTTGTATACAAATCATTCAACAGGTCAACAACCTGAAAAGAAATTCTTCATTTAATACTGGCATTTCCTAATTGAAATTTAAGTAATTATGAAGAAATGGTTTTGTAGGTACATATCTGTTTCCAGAGAGTACTCAAAGTACCTGTAGCGGCTGGCTTTGGTTTGCTATCGTTGTAAAACCGACGATGTCGGAGAAGAAAATGGAGACGTCATCAAAGCACTCCGGCTGTACCGACTCCCCACGCTTCAGCTGCTCAGCTACCAGTCTGCAATTAATTTTTTTTTCTTCTAAAAATGTTTTTTCTTAAATATATTTTGACATATAATTGTGCTAAAAATTAAACAATCTGCTAATTACGGTGGTAGCATGTTGTAGAGAAGTCGGTCCGTTTTCTGTTTCTCCAGTGCCAGTTCCTCTGTTCTCTCAGTGACCAGCTGTTCCAGGTTATTGCTGTACGCCTCCAACATCTGAATCATATTGTCCATAATATTGATTTTTCTGGGAAAAAAAATCAGAAAAAAAGGTATGATAAACTATTAGAAATAACTAATACAACTAATTCACCTGCTTAAACACAAAGCATATGCAAGATATTGGTTTTAGAAAGTTTTGAACAATTGTAATTAAGGTTCGTTTCTAGAGAAAAGAACAACTGTTTCCTCCTCCAACCAAATTGTTTGTCTACCCATGCTTTACCAAATGAGTTAATGCCTTTAAAATAGCTAGTCTTACCAGTACTTTTAACAACTTTGTGATATACGCCAGTAAATCTCTTATATTTCAGAACCTCTATAAAAATATAAATATCTTAAAAGCAGAAAAACGGGTAAAATCTCCTACCTCCCACTGTTTATGTCGATCAGCCTCTTTCTGATATTATGGAAGTCTGGCCTCGATTCGGAGTGTTCGTGCCAGCAGCACCTCATTAGAAATACAGCTTTATCCGGGACATTACTGTCCTCTGGTATGTGTGGACGATATGGAGGTACATCATGGTTCCGAACCCTCATTATTATTTCTAAAAGTAACATTTGTAATGACTCATGTGATATCATTTCCAGTAACAACCTACATGTATCTAGTTGTGTTTTCTGATTAAATACACAATACCATATGCACAGTGCATCCTTTCTTGCAATGAAGAATTGAGTTATTATTAAAATGTTCTTTGAAAGGCTAGAGGCTCCCTCTCCCTGATTTTTGTCGCAATAAAGTTCTCCCATGTTAGTCTATTTTTTTTATTGTAAAAAGAGACGGACCACCCTACGAAATAGGATTTCCTTTCTTTGGACAAAAAGTCTGTCAAAGATTTTTCATGCAAGTTGATTAACCCTTAAAAAATATGCAAGTTGCTTTGATAGTATTGTAATCTTTACTATTTAATTAAATCTATGTACTTATCTTCAAATGTTTATACCAAAGTAAAAGCTATTCTACACATGCCTTTGGGAGAGGATACAATGTTGAAGTAATATGGAGCGGTCCTGAGAAATATTTCCTGTAGAATGATACCAAAGCTGTAAACATCCCCCTTCTGTGTCCCTTTACGGGGCATTTTCTGAAGTCTTAGAAGTTCCGGTGCCGTCCAAAACAAACCTGAAGGGAAGAGATATACATTTGTATTTTCCGCTTTGTTTCCAGTACATTTTTTGTCACGGAATCTTTTTTTAAATTTCATCGAATGATACTTGTACGTATAAATACAGTACAAGAACGGATGACTCTTAGTAACGTTATGCTTGATAATAAATATGTTAGGTTACACTGTTTATGCCTTACCCGTGTAAAATTCGTGTTCCCCAATTTCCTGAGTTGGTTCCTCAGGGTGAGTGGTTATAGCCCCGTAATCGGTCAGTTTTAAAACCCAGCGACTGTCTATCACACAGTTACTGGACTTCAAATTACCATGGGATTTCAAGGAAGACTTGTGTAAAAACTCCATGCCCTGTTTAGATTTGGAAGTTTCTTAAGAAATCAACGAATTTTAAAATATTGATATGAATGAAGAAATTTGATAATTAACATTCAATACTTACCCTTGCCAGATCAAGCGCAAAAGACATTTTGAACATCCAATCCAACTTTATATCGTCATTCTCTATAATATCCTGAAATTAAAAAAAAAAATTCCCGATTTCTTAGTCTTCATTAAATAACTCTCCATTAAAACATGAATGAAATTATTTTAGATACCGGTAAATGGGTACCTGTAAACTTCCTTTGGCACAATACATGGTAAGAACATAGCAGTTTTCAGGCTCCAAATTGGCGCCAACAAACTGGTTTAAGTTGTCATGGTGTAATTCTCTCAACTGCAATAAAATTGTAAAACCTGCATAAAAAACATTTATTTCATAAAGTTTTTTTTTAATATATACATACATGTCTTCACGTAAATGCTAATTTTACCGTTTTGAGATCTCGTAGAACTTCCCTTGTCAGGCGAATGGACCTTCTTTGTAAACTTTTTACAGCCACAACCGATCCCTGAAAAAAATCAACGGATAAAGCCACTTTCTTTTTGATAGTTATTTACTTGCATGATGATCAATTAACAATATAAATCAAAGGTGCTTACCTTGTAATTCCCAATTGGGGCAAATAAGAAATTTTTGTCAAGACTGCAAGAAGAACCAAATCCCAGTGTACCTCTCGTTTCCTGTAAGTAAGTCACGGTATTTAACAATTTACGCTGTAGATCATCATATTTCAAAAAAGTTAATGGAAGTGCGTTTATCAATTTTCAAAAATGTTAACTGCAGTGCGTTTAAGATCACTGTCCATTGAGAACAGCGCCCTACCATTCTGACCAGCTTCTTTGTTGGGTGAGGCCCTTCCTGCTGTTTCGGAGTTGGGTGTTTGTTTCTCAGTTTGATCTCATTTTCATTTACTTTCCACAGCATACCCATCAATTCCTTTTCAAACCTCATTTTTCTGCAATGAAAGTTTGAAAAAATCTTTTTAACGAATATCTATATAACAAAGAAGGATCCATATGTTTTTAATCAATGGGTACTTTCTTTTTCTAACAAAAACTCGTTACAGAAAATCGAAGTAATAAGCTCTCTGTATCAATTATTTATCACCTGGACGCACCTGTAGAGAATAAACGCCAGGATAAGTGCTGCTACGCTGACCAGTCCCCCAATACAGGCTCCAGCGATAATAGCACCAGTATCCGTGCTTTCTGCTGTAGAGATATTAATAAAAGCTTGAGGTTAAACTTTTTGTTTTTGGAACAAACTACATAATGTAGAATACATTGAAATTTATCATTTGAAAACGTTGAATGGACTGCAAGAATCTCAGGGAGCTGGATAACCATCAACGAAATTAAAGTGTGAAACAGAGGGAACAAGGAAACCGAGACCACCTCCAACCAAGAGTTCTCCAACACTACCTTCCAAACGATACAAAAGAGAAAGGAACAATCAATTATACACAGTTATGGGGAAGTTTTACGAGGATATGACCTGCAATGATGCCCACAGGAGAAGACATTTAGGTAGCATGACTGTAATGAAATGCATCATAGCAGAGAAGAGGTTCGGAGTAGAAGAGAAACAACAGGAGAGAAAAGTTTACGTCCCAGTGGAAGACAGTAACAGACATCAGGAAGGACCTCAGACCACACACTTACAAAAAGGTAAATGTGAGTCAGTGGAGAAGAGAGAGAGAAGAATGTAGTCAACTCAGCAATGACAGTAGAAGAAGAGACTAAAGGAACTTAAAAATGCAGAAAGAATCTGGAACAACAAATAAACTCGTATTAAAGGTCGCAAGGGTACTTAATATAAAGAAGCGATCTGGAAAGCTTTATAAATCTACATGTAGAGAAGAGGCTGAAACATTTTTGAAAGAAACACTCAGATGGAACCATTAATAAAATACAAAAGGATAAAACAATAAAAGCTGTACCACCAGAACAGGAACCAATCTAGACATGAAAGAACACTGTAAGAAATTAAAGAAAGGTATGAACTGACAAGAAATAAGAAATTTTCCAAATTTTTCAATAATAATGTTAACAAGAGTCATCTTGAGAGACAGTTATACTAGTATACCAGCACGTTGACAAGCAGACTCAGGACTGTATTGCTCCTTAACGTGGAGAGCTAACAGATGACGTACTGGAGAAGGAATATTTGGACACGTCAGAGCAGAAACGGGTGCATACTAAGTTTTATTACGATTCCGAGAGATCCTAGAAAGCGCCAGTGTCATCTCAAAACTGGTCAATAGAGACTAAAAGGGACATCGCAGTTGTTTGCATAAATCTTGCAAACGCCCATGATATAGTTCACAAGCTTACTGAAACAGCTCTTACATAACGGAAAAGACCAACACAACTTTGAATGATTATATAAAAGGATCCATCTCAGCTTTAGAGTGAGAGACAACACAGCGTCAAAGTAACAAGATGTGATTAAAAAACTATAACACAAAATATTCCACATTTATTGGCATTTTTTTCTTAAATATAAAAAAGTATGAATTGCATCAATTTATATGTTTTGAAGTCTTCTAAATATAAATTTTGTTGTTGCAAAAAGATTTAAAAAAAATTCACTCACCCCCATCGTTGCAGGTTTTTCCCGTAAACCCACATCTAGGTGTGTCTAGTGGCGGACCACTTCCTATCCATTCCATGGCAGTGTGAGTATTAAAACACTGCTCTCCAGATAAATTGTACACTATGGAGAAATTGCCCTGTTGATAGTGGGAGACACGGTATGTTCGAATGGCACTTTTGGAATTGTTAAATTGGATGTGACCGGTCCATCCTAAAACACGTACAGATATACAAAAATACGTAGGGAAAATGTCACCTCAGTTGCACATAACCTTCAATAACGCCTGGGGTGCTTATGTATATATGATGATGACTATATAAAATTAAGTTTAAAATGGTCGTTGTACAATACATGTACATTAAATGCGTATGCCTTGTATGATAGAGGAATAAAAAAGTGAGTACATTTCGACATGTATTGTTACCAATATATAATGAAGTTCTTAAGAACCTTAAATTAAGTTACCCGTGTAGGCTATTGTTTGTAGATTTCGTTTAAGCTGAGATGTCGAACTGCTTGGATATTTCTGAACATACTGACTGTACAACATCACAGCGTCATGAAGGTAAGCATAAAACTCACTGGCCTACAAAGTACATAACTGTCTCGTTTTGGTATCAATATATTAACAATACGAACTTTTAAAGACTTCTTTTTCAAATTGTAAATTTTCGATTTTCAAAAGTACTTCTTTTGGCTCATTTCTAAGAAAAGCAAATAGAATTTTAGTTAGCATACCGGTTGTGAATTTGGAAGGTGATTAGTAAATCTGAGGTATTCCAATTCAGTGGTTGTGAAAGGTCCGATCTGCAGTAAAGATTTCAGTGTATTCTTTGGGTGCGGGACACCCAGGCTGGAGGAGTGATTAAGGGCGGGGCTAAATTTCCAGTTAATGAATATGTATGACCCGTCGTTCATTCCTTCTGCAGAAACCTCAATGAGAAAGGTCTCTAGGAACACCTCAGGCACAAACACCGCTATAACTGAAACAAAATCTTATTTTTAGCACTTTTTAAAAAATACTTCAATATTTTTAAAATAAGGATATATTAAGATCTATACATTTTTCAACACCTTTAAAGAAGTAGGATTATTTGGCGATGTTGCAACTTTTCATTTAGAACTTTTTTTTGAGATTATAGTTACAATAGCTCAAAACTTTCTTAAATGATTCAACAAAGGTTACCACATTTTCTTTTCTTTGCTAACAATTGTCCCATAGTTTGCTATACACCACACTGATGTACATTGTATATTTAATTATTTATATTAAATTTATGCATTACACACAACTTTATTAGCAATGGAGATTCGATTGTTTAATGTCTTTTTACGTTTTTATGTACCAAAAGTGCTCTAAAAAATGAACAGATTTAATACACTTTTTAGTATTAATACATTATTACTGATAGACTTTTTATTTCATGTTTGCAAGAATATTTTTCTTCTTCTTAAGCTTTTATTTTTCAGATAAATTGAATGTATGGATCTTATTTTTTTCGAATTCCCTTTTCTTTTTACGTTTCTGTGTCATCCCTTTTTTTTTTTTTTTTTTTAGAAATGCTTGTTATCTTCTTTTAAATAGGATCGTTTGCTGTAAATGGCAAACCAGCTACTTACTTCTTGCTGAAGATTTCATGGAAGTCAGTGCCGTTTTCATAGAATTCCCAGTCATATTGGTGGCCAGAACCTTTTTTACGGTGACGTCATTGTCGCGTAACAATGATTTGGTGGTGATTGCCATTTGTCTATTTATTTCATTGTTTCCGTGTATAATGCCTATAAAAATATTAGAAAAGCATTTCAACATCAAACCGCTTTTTTTCTTACTATTTTAATACATTTCTTGGTATTCTATGTATTAACATATTTTAAAAATTAAACTGATAGTTTATTTTAAAACAACTTTCAACATTCATTCTTAGAAAAAAAAATCGTTTAACTATATATGTCCTATTTCTCAGATATGTTACTTTTTAAATATAAATTTCAAGAACAGCAAAAATTATTAGTCATTTTTTAGTACGAAACATGTTCAGTTTGTTCAAATCATGACCAGTGCAGGCAGGGGGAGTAGGTTTGGACCATTTGTACATTGAATCTTTTAATAATGAACCATTTCTCTAATCAAAGTGATCAGGTGAGCGATGAGGTCCTTGGATGTCTTTTTTCCTTATTAATAACTATATGATCTTTACTTTAAACATATTACACTAGGAACATAATAGTTTGTTATACCTTTAAAAGGTATTCCTATACAAATCTATATGAAAAAAAGTCTAACATTTCTAATGTTTTGCTGAGCGGGCATAAAGAAATCGATGTTGGACCACTGAGTGAGATATGGACCGGCCGATGAGATGTTGGACCGCTTACGTCACAGAATGGGCGGAGCTTAATCTCATTTTCATTCGTTGGTGTTCAAAAGTACATGAAGGACTTGAGGTTACATCACGGATGACAGTACAAAAAAAACATGTACCCGGTAGGTAAAAAAAAATTAAAATGAAAGGTATAACAAAATATTTATTGACTGAGTTCTAGGGAAAAATGCGTTTTGTCGACCCTCGAACCAAACTGTCTGCCTTCGGCCTAATGGCATTAGACAGACAGTTTGCTTGTTGGGTCCGACAAAACGCATATTGCCCTCGTACTCGGTCAATAAATGTATACACAGGGAAAAGTGGCTTACGTGATATTCATGTAATTATCTTTTTATTTGAAAATTATGTGGAAATCATATGAAAATTATATAAATATATTTTCATATGAATATCATGTGAATATAAGTTTATATGATATTTTTCGTGTCTTTTTTATGCGAAGAATTCACATGAAAGAACTATATGCGGTATTAACCAACATTTGCCCCCCCAAGTCAAACTTTGATGGAGTAATATTTAATTAAGTCCTTAAACAGGGAAAAGTGACTTCAAAGCACTGAATAATTTATGTGATAGTCATGTAATTAAATTTCAGTTTTTTATGAATTTTGAAAAATTATATGGAAATCATGTGTGTTCAGGATAAATATGATATAAAAATATATTTTTATATGAATATCTTAAATGTGAAATATAAGGATATAAAATATATGATAAAAACAGAAATTTTTTCTGGAACTATAATATTTTCTGTTTTATATGTACAATTTATTGAATTCAGCACATCAGGAAGTTTTCAAAATTTACTTTTGTGAGCAATATACCGCATATAACTTTTACCTGTGTATTATTCACTGATTTCAAGATTCAAAAGAGGAAGAAGCGGTCAACATGGGTTAACACGGTGTTTATGTTTTTTGTTTCATTTGCAGGAATCTTTTTGTATCTTTAAATCCATTGCTGGTTCCTTTCTTATATGACTCTATATCTTCGCAAGGCTTTTAGAAGAAAAAAATCTTCATTTATTAAATAGTCAGGTACTTGTTAATTTGTTAATCGTAACACAACAACTACACGATTCTAAAGAATGCAAAAGCACCAAATTAACAGAAAGTTATTGGCAGGGGTTTATTGTGTGGAATATATTGATCTCTCGTGTGGTCAAAGTTGTTGTAGCTCGGGTGTTTTATATTTCTCGCTATCTTTTGCACTTTCATTTGAGATGTCAGTTGAAATGTCATCAAAGAGATAATTATTCTGTGTCAAAGCATTATTTACATATCATCAAAAAAGCACCTTAAGCTTCAGATTTATCATAAGTTTGAAATAAATAGCTTTCTAATCAGCTATTTGGATGGGTTCCAGACAGGAAAAACTTTAGAAATTGTTTCCCATGTGTTCGTCATCCTTCTTTGTAGACAATTTTAGGTTTATCAAATGTTCCCTTTGTATGCCCCATATCAAAAACCAACTCTTGAAAAGCTGAACATTGTACAGAAAGATATACGAGATTTTGGAGAAATAAAGGGGTTTCTTTTTGTGTTCCTAAAGATATGGACACGTACGTGTATCTCTGGTTGTATGCAGAGAGACCTGTAGTTTTGGTTTTATTGAAGACAAACATGTACATTTACACACATTCATTGGAATACGTAAATATAATAATAGCATGTTGTACCAATGACAGACATCTGAAAACTGCAGTCATAAACATTTGAAGAAATGCTTGTACCTTTGAAGACAGACAAGTACAAAAGACATACATTTACCTATAAAAACGAACGTGCCTTTAAAGACATACATGTACATGTAAAGAGAGAAATGTACTAAAGACGGGCATGTACTGTAACTATGAAAACAGACATGTACCTATGCTTTTCCAACCATGACAGCTCAGAAGCGTTGCTATATTCCTTGCGATATCTTCGTATGATCCCAGCGTGCCGATTAAGGTGGGATAGGATTCAAGCTCTTCCTTAATGGGGGTCCACATCACTTATTCCAAAGCCATCATATTCTTATAGCAAATGTCATGTATGTCACATGTCAAATCAGATATATTGCAAGGTTTTACTCCCTCTACTAAATAACCTCCTTAAAAGCCAAATGCACAAATGAGTATCTGAAAGCAAGAATAGCTACAAAGAAGTTCTATTTAAAATGTAACAAACAGAATAAAAATACGTTATACTCATTTTCAACAAAGGATACCTGCCATTTTTCTCATGGTAAATTTTCAAAGACATGCAGTGGTATAGCTGCAGATCTGTAGTTCGCTGGTCTGAAAAATTGGGATGGATCTGATCATCTATCCCAATTTTTTTTTCAGATCAGAGAGCTACAGATTTGCAGCTAGAAGTGATCAGAAAAATACACACAAATAATGTTTTCATTTATTTAATTTTGTGTACAATAAAAAAGATTATCTTTTTTTCAAAATACATGCATGCCATTTACTTTGGATTTTTATTCATTTCATCTTACATCATCAAAGGGCAGATCACTGTAACTGTATGTATAAATCTATAACACTCTTCAGTAAGCAACGTCTTGAGCACGAGCTACCCTAAGTTTAAATTGTGAGCTCTTTTCAATTAAAGACTTTATCATCATTTTTCTGCAACATCTAACATTTAATTTCTATAAAGTAGAAAAATTATTCGAACTTATCTTAAAACAGTGTATTTAAGTATACTGAAATTTAACTAATCAACTGTTGGAAAAAGAAATTGAAAAAAGAAATCCTGACGATTAATCAGTGGAGTTCATATTATAGCTGACATACACAATCGACCTTGTTACATGCTCTTCAAATATTGAAGGCGAAAATTGGTATTACATGTATAAACAATACCCTCTAGTCTACCATTTACATTTACGCATAAATTGTCCAAGTTCTTAGTAGGTCATATTGATTTAAAACAAGAAATACACGTAGATAATTTGTCTTCTTTTGACTTGATTTCATTCATAATTGATTATATATCGAGTGAAAATGGGTATTTTTTTTAACATTCACAGAAACACAAATATCCCTAAATTGTCCAAAGATAGCCATATCCACTGTTGTCAAATACTGTCATTGAATAAATAGTATTTTTTTTTTACATTCAATTTTCAGAGAAGGAAAAAATGTTGATTCCTGTAGCTATGATTTTCCCCTATAGAACTGCTCATGTCAATTTCTATATTAATCGAGACATACTCTCGTTTTCCTCTAAATTAAGTTTCCTTTTGGTGATTTAGTCAGCCCGTGAGTAGAAATTTCGGTGTACTTATTGCCCAGAGGAGTAGTAGTATTCCTGTAAGAGATTAGACCAGGGCCTTTCCAGGTTAAATATGATTATATACATCATCCTGTTCATACTGAGAAATTGTCGATAAGCTCGAGATGAGAAATCAAAATTCCAATTAAGATGGGAGTTTCTGTTCTTTGGTAAACAATTCACCCAATGTTGATTCTTGAATTTCTGGGCCATTGTTTTTCATGCTGTGATAGATCCTCTGTTTGTGTATCTTATCAAGATAATAGACAACTGATTATCTTATCCTAGTGTCAAGAAGGCTCTTCAGATTTTCGACTGTAATCTTTTACCTGTAGCAAAACCAAGTGATGCTACCCTTAAGTTTACATGAGTTGACAAATACGGGTATGACTCAAACCCATCATTACAATTCATTTCTAAATACTATTTTTCCTTATTTCGTTATCAGCTTGCGTCAGCACTGTTTGTCTTGATTTTCTGTGATATTTTCTAATTATTGAATTCTTTTTCCTTTTTTATTTAATGTGCATGTTTAGTTGTTTCATCCATTAAAACTGTTATGATGAAGTCCCCTGCTGTATTATACCTTAGCCAGGATAAACAACTGCTTGTTTGTAATTCCTTGACTGGTATGTTTTCCATGATTATCTAATTCCAGTCGATAGGCATAATATTTTTTTTTTTAAAAGAAGGGTTGTTGCCTTATTATTTTTTTTTTAACAATTTATTTTGTGATAATTGAGGTTGAATAACACTTTTGCATATTGGTTCTATATTAGTGAACTCTCTTTATGGTACACACAAACTGTAAAGGCAATTGAAAATTGTAAGACTATAGAATAATTATGAGCATAGCTATTGTTTTGTAATTCTATGATTTGTTTATGCATAAATAATCAAATATATTTTTTGTTCATCAATTTTTTTCTACAACTTCCCTACGTTTTCTTGAAAGTGTTTGGATAGTCAATCGGTAAATGTCCGGAAACATTGATAATACAGTTAGTGACTGTCAGGGAAGTTGTTGACTCAAGATTGATTGTTAGCATGGAAGGAAAACACTACCGAGCGTCTCAAGACCAAAACAACTGTTCAAAAAACTATTCACATAAACAATTATATTATACATGATTAACACGTCATACATGTATTGAATGCACACATTTCATGCGCACGTGTAAAACCGTGTGTACACTAGTCTTCCTTAATAACGATAATTTTAAATTATGTCTACATGTACAATTTTAAATTTTTTTGTGCAATTTTAAATTATGTCTACATGTACAATTTTAAATTATGTCTACATGTGCATTTGAATCACAAATGTACATCACAAATGTACATGTTTGATCCTTGTCATCTGATATCTTTTAGTAACATTTATAATAGAGAATTTTTAAAATTGCACATGTAGACATAATTTAAAATTGTACATGTAGACATAATTTAAAATTATCGTTATTAAGGAAGACTAGTGTACACACGGTTTTACACGTGCGCATGAAATGTGTGCATTCAATACATGTATGACGTTTTAATCATGTATAATATAAATAGAAAAGTCCTGAAGCTTAATTTCAAATTTCTTATGAAGATTTTAATAATCTGTTAACTTCCTGTCTACTACATTAATGCATGAAATACCGGTATATTACAAAGCAATAATATCAGCACTTGTGCAGAGAAATAAAATAAATTTACAACCCAATATACTAAATATAAAAAATACTTGTACTGTATTTATATCATTGCCTTACAAAGGTAACATTCATTGAAGACTTTCTTCAGTATTTGCAATTGGTTAACCTGTATTTATAATCCTATTGAAGTAACAGGAACCTCTTATCTGCCGTATTTGATCCTTGTGTAATCACACTGAATTAGATGACTTACCAAAATAAATACTGCAAGTGCCACTTGAACCAAAAAGATTGAGTTCCGTAAGAACTGTCGACAAATGGTAAAATTTAATCGGGTTCCAATTTTCTTTTAATTTCTTTTTTTTTTTTTTACTTCTCTAATTTTTTATGCGAATTGCGATCTTTGAACCTGAGAGTTCTGATTTGTAAATCGTTTGTGTGTTTTTCCTGTGAATTAATACTAATATAGAGTGTTATGTTGTCCAAACCAACAGCATGAAATTACCAAAGTAATGATGCAGGGTTTGGAGAAATCAAGGGATGGGTGATGGGAAAGGTGACAGGCAAAGAATACTAGCCTAATAAACTAGCACTGTCTTTCCCTTATACGGCGTAACTTAGACGATGCTCACATTCTGCTCAATGAAGCGCGTGAAGAAAACATAATAAAAGGCATCCTATGATGGGGTGTTTTGCTTCTTGTAAAAAAAAAAAAAATTAGGCACGTAATACAATTGTATCAATGGAGGGGACTGCATCACTACCCCCCTCTCCCTCTCCATTGCACATTCACACAAGTTAAGGATTAGAATGTTTTGAAAGATTGTCCCCATCCCGCTTTTTTGCAGTTGAGTCAAATCTTCCCACTATAATGTACAGTATTCGAAAAGTATTCGAAAATTGTGTAATCTCCTCGTATAGCCAATCCCTCAAAGAAAATAGATTTTGAAAGATGGGATCTTGTTGTAATATAATTCTTTTTCCGACTCCTCCTTTAAGAAACGATACTATGTATTGGTGGATTTCAAATTTGAAATTTAAAACGAAGATTTGATGTTGTTTGAGCAGTATTTACTTTTGTTATTTTTTTTCATTTAGGTGACAAAGGAAAATTTTTATTTTTATTTCTTACACTTGAAAATGGACAGAAATCACAAAATTTTACACAACGTATACAATTATTTATTAAACACGTAGATGTATGTAGAATTTTAAAAAAAATGGTTAATTATAAAACCAATTAATTCTAATCTTTATACCGGCTAGGGGGTGCTAAGCCCCCCACTTTTTTTCCAAATATATACATAATTTAAATCACTTTCCAAAATTTATGATAAAATTGGTAAAAGTTTGATGTTAGCATTTTCGTGTCTGGGAAATACAAATTAGCCCCCCCACTTTCAATTTGCTACCGACGCCAATGACCGGTATACATAATTTAAATCCTAAAATTTATGATAAAGTTGATGTTACTCGTAGAAATTATCTTTCGGCATATAAATCTTATTTTGAAAAAAATACATATCAGTGATATAATGTCATCGATTTTATTAATGCTTATTTATGCAGAGTAGCTTTATATGGAGAATGACATTGCGATTGTAAATGTACTCTTCATTTTGGAGATCGTTAAATCTATGAAGAAAAAAACCTTCTTGAAGAATATGACCAATAACTTTAAATGTACTCACCATTTTCGCAAACAGGACCAAAGAAGACATCTACATCATCCTTGATTCTGAATGCCTCGTTTAACGCTGTTGCTTCTGAACATTTAGTGTCCTGAGACACCTGAAAGTGCAGCACCGAGCTCACATTTCTTAGAGCCTGCTCAAAAGCGCTAAAAACGGTCTCATTTGACGGTAATCCAATACTAGGCGTGGTGGAAGGAAGTAAAAGCCCTATTTTAACTTTACCGGTAACAGTACATAATTCTAGAGAAGAGGTGACGAATAACACAAACCAGATTGAAGGCATACTAGAAACAAAAATATAAAATATAGCTAAAATAATTTTAAGTTGATCGATTCTGGTGAAGTTAAAAGTAACACCCCGGTTGTAGAGTTGACGCTTTGCTCCCTTTGTGCCTCAGAGGGTGACAAGCTGAGCCCGATTAAATCACCCCATCCTCTCCAGTTTAATAAGACAAAACACTATCTAATCAGTTGGTCCGCGATCATCTTGACTTGATTGGCTTTGTTTCGCAGGATTGACGGCATACACAACAAACTCATAATTTACTTTGACAAAATTTTGAACCAAGGAGGCAATGGCTAGTTATACGGGGTCCAACTCTCGATATTATTTCAGATTTCTGCTCAACTTACGACTGTTTGCTTCCATTGGTGTAATGATGTTACTAAGCACATTACTTTGGATGATTGGAATACAGAAAAAGAAACGCTGATAGAATCCAAGTATTTCAACACTGCTCGTACTAGCTTCTTGTTTAAAGCAATGTGCATCGGCCCATGCATTCAAATCCATTACCGCAGTCAATGACCATATTCCTAGCGGAGTTATATCAGAATACTACATCAACCCTTTTTAAGGTTTTCCGCGATTACAGTTTATTATGACGCTTTTCCACAAGTTTTATAACAATAGATTAGATTCAGGCATTTGCGTTCATAAGCCAATCAAAATCTTTTTCTCTCTCTCCTTTATAATCCCCGTATTTAAAAAATACTAAACAAAAACTATTAACGAAACGTACCGCTATTGAATGGGACATAAATGATTGAAAACTGATTCAAATTGGGATTTCTTTAACTACCCAGAAATGTAATCAGTTGTCGCCTTCTTACTGTGATATAATCGTGGACCTTTATTTTTAAACTAGAGAAAGAAGTCGCACCCAAACCTGGCGTATGGTCCCAACCTTTTGATATCATTTATCAAATCTTTTCTAATAGGACCTTCAGAAAGACCCGAATAAATGTTTAAAGGGATTGAAAGGCATTCTCTTTGGTAAGGGTTATAATAACTCATGCCAGTTCTTTCCTTGCAATGATTTATAATGTAAATATATAAGTATACGTTATCTATACCAATTTGTTTACACTCTCTAGTGGTTCAACTTTAAGTTAAAATTAAATATATTTTATTTAAATTGCAGTAAAAATATTTTTTTTAATTTAAGAAAGCGAATTTAGAGTGAGAGATAAATAAGAAAATATATATTCATTTTTAAATCATTAATATTAAAGATGATTTTTTTAAGATAAAGAAGAAGAACGATTATTAAAGTGATATCTTCCTTCGCTCTGCGACAGCGATAAAAAACATAAAAAGTTATTCTTTGTTAGCTGAAAGTTGCAAAAGTGAAAACCTCACATCTTAGGGAATTTCTCCTGGACAAAGTACTTTTTAGCGTTGCTGAACTTTTTTAAATTAACAACACAACTATGTTGCTTTCAGTGACTTACTCTCTGTAAGATTTACCAGCACGTGTCTTGAAAGGAGGTATCTTTTTCAGTTTGTCAGTTTCCCGTCTTAAAGTTCGCTATTCTGTTCATTAATTTTTGAAACAGAAGAAATGCTTGTTTGTATTCTTATCCCATCTGCAGTTATAATTATCAAACTCAAGAATAGAAAAGCAATTTCAGGGACCTTTTTCTCAAAAACATAATTTACACGCCAGTATATATCACCCAGCTGATCGCTGGTGAGATCGGCGGGATATGGGCAGAGGATTAGCATTAGTGGTGTATCTGAAAAGCACGAACTAATTAAAAGATGTACTGTTTACACTTTTGGTTTGTAAATTTTGCAAAAGTAAGCCAAAGTTTGTTTTGTAATTGAAGAGCCTGTTAGTGTTATTACATAATTTACTTTATGTGAAACGAAATTGGGATTTTAATTACAAAGAAATATAATTTGATCAGTTGTAAAACAATTAATTTCTTTAACATTTCAAATTTAAACTAAATTAAAAATAATTTGCAATTTTTTTCTAAATGGAATGTAAAAAAATATTTTTTACGCTATCGAATACTGGCACTTGTTTCAGAAATAAATTTTTAACCCAGAGTGGGTCAAGAATTTATTTCCGAAACAAATGAAGGCTTGTGCTCGAAGTAGCTTTTTCAGTGATGATGTCACACTAGTCTGAATAAACGGTACATGCATCAGCTTATTCGTAATTGTGACGTCATAATGCATATGACATCACAATGCCATCCATGATGAGAAAAACAGGTTGTTTCGGAAATAACTTTGAACCCATAGTATAATAATAACACGTGCTTTTATTATACTATAGGTTCAAATTTATTTCCGAAAGAAACTCACTTGATCTTAGTCCACTTTTCCACTTTTAATTCCTTTGGAAAAAGTGAGACTGAGATATCAACCAGAAGTCTCTGTCGAGACTATAGCTCTACTGGTTTATACTTAAAACAAAGGAAGAGAAAAGTAGCAGTTGGGACTTGAGACTTTAAAACAGCAATAAGTAAAAAAAAAAGATCCTTGCCGCTAATCAAAAGAAAAACAGATGCACAGAATTATGTATCTTAGTGTAGTCTACTTGTGTGACAAGTTATATTGAAATTGGACCAAAACTGTAGGAGGAGTAGCATTTTGAAAGAATTTTACAGAAATTTCTATTTTTAGTAACCACGGCAACACTGTTCATCGAAATCAAAAACAAATGCACAGAATTATGTATCTTAGTGTAGTCTACTTGTGCCAAGTTATATTGAAATCGGACCAAAACTGTAGGAGGAGTAGCATTTTGAAAGAATTTCTCAGAAATTTCTATTTTTAGTAACCATGCAACACCGTTCATCGAAATCAAAAACAAATGCACAGAATTATGTATCTTAGTGTAGTCTACTTGTGTGCCAAGTTATATTGAAATTGGATCAAAACTGTAGGAGAATTAGCATTTTGAAAGCATTTCACAGAAATTTCTATTTTTAGTAACCAAGGCAACACCGTTCATCGAAATCAAAAACCGATGCACAGAATTATGTATCTTAGTGTAGTCTACTTGTGTGCCAAGATATATTGAAATTGGACCAAAACTGTAGGAAGAGTAGCATTTTGAAAGAATTTTACAGAAATTTCTATTTTTAGAAACCAAGGCAACACCGTTCATTGAAATCAAAAACCGATGCACAGAATTATGTATCTTAGTGTAGTCTACTTGTGTGCAATTATATTGAAATTGGATCAAAACTGTAGGAGGAGTAGCATTTTGAAAGAATTTCACAGAATTTTCTATTTTTAGTAACCACGGCAACAACGTTCATCAAAATCAAAAACCGATGCACAGAATTATGTATCTTAGTGTAGTCTACTTGTGTGCCAAGTTATATTGAAATTAGATCAAAACTGTAGGAGGAGTAGCATTTTGAAAAATTGTTTACAGACAGACAGACAGACAGACAGACGGACGGACGACGGACGCATTACTATCGCATAAGCTCTTCTGGTCTCTGACCAGTAGAGCTAAAAATGAGCCCGTCTAAGTTTTATGGTCCCCAGGCCTGGTCTCATCAAAAGTCTTTTTTTGTTGCAAACGTCTATAGATTTCTGAATATATATTTCTGTATAGTTATAAATATTAATTCAAGATTACCGTGATTATAGCACTGACTTGAATATTTCAATAAATAGTAGGAGATAAACTAATGAAAAAAATATAAATACACCGGACCGGTACGACTTTTTTCTCTTTTAAAAGCACATGTACGAGGGTTGTCCCAAAATTCCGTAGACAAGCGTTGTTTTGTAGGAACCTTATGTCATACATTAATGAAACTTCGTACATATATTAAACCAACACTATCTAATAAATTTATGGACCAACAGCAAAGGCTGTTGTTATACATGTACAAGCATATATACATGTATTTTGCTTTTTATAATTTGTATCACTTGTGTCACGCGTAATTTTTTTTTTAAATATACTCATGCTTTGCAACCGCTTTAAATATCAAAAATCAAACCAACTCGTAAAATAAATCCAAAATTGAATATTGAATCTAAAAATTAATTCTAAAATAATTCCAGATGAAATATATGGAGATAACAAACAAGATTCAATTCCATTAATTAAACAATACTAAATAGGAGCAGAGCAAACACGGGCCTCCGAAACAATAGGTGGGATCAGGTGCCATGGAGGAATGGGCATCCCCTGTCGACCGGTTACACCCTTGTCATGATCGGTAAATAACGGAAAATCTGTCGTCATATCAGTGTGTGAAAAATGGACTAACGATTGGTATGAAAAACGTCAGTCAGCATTTGACTCGATGATAAATTGTATTTGCTGACAAGGTCATTGTATCGACCATAGAACTTACGAAATGATGACTTTAAACGAGACCTCTGATATTCTTGTCTCATGAACTTATTTGTCTATAGTCTACTTCGTTTTAGAAATTGTATATACGTAGAACATGCTCTTAGATCTGTTTTGACATATTTGCATCCCTTTCCTATGTACCCCCTTAATTTACTTTGTTCTGATATGGCTAAATTACAAAAAAAAATTAATATATACCTGCATTTAGAGTATTTTCTAAATCCGCAATTAAAGTTTGGTAATTTTTAATATTGTACAAGTTGTACAAGATCTGCATTGCTGCACTGAAGTCAAATCTTCATTTATGTTCGTCACGATATGAAGGCTATAATTTCTGCGACTGTTATTCATTTGGCTCTCACGGTTTAGTTGTCATCAGTATTGTAATTATGTTGAGATTAATGTGAAAAAGCAGGCAGAACTTCATTGAAAATGGGCTAAAATAGCCACCAATAAGCAAGATCATATTGCACTTTACTGTTGCTGATCATAAAAATCTATATTTGTTTCTGCTGGCACTTGAAATAATTGGTAATAACCACAAGATATCAAAAGGTACAAAAGAATTTGGTGACTTGGAATTGAAACACAGACGTTAGTGCGTGTATTTATGTAATCTTATATTGTGACTAGGAAAAAAACTTTGCAATACACATTTATTATTGAATTTAAAACAATTGTGTAAGAATAGGACATTTTGAGCTTTCTCATAAATTGTACCAAAATGTTGAATTTCGTACACTTACAAGTACAAATAATATATGTTTCATAAGAATTTGTGAATGTCCCATCATACCCGCGGACTGTTTTGCTTCCTTGGTAAAGTTTTCGAGGTCGCAAACTGGATTTTTATTAACTTCAATTTACTCTTTTTCTAGGAGACCGCGGATAATATTTTTTTTATAATGAAATATGCGCAAAATAACACTATATGACTTTTTGATTAGGTATTTATTGCTATATTAAAACCCAATTCACACATTAAATTCCGCACCATTACCAAATCTTACTATTCAAAATATGTTAAATATATTTCATTCATTGATTATAACATAGCTTAAAATCTCATCTGTCGATATCTGAAAATCTATTGTTCCATTATATCTTTGATAATAGACAAATAACATCTCCAAACCATAGAAGACGTCCGCTATTTCAGAATTCCGTTGTCCTTAAGTAATTTATACATTGGTTCTTGGGGGAAATCGTCGTCTTTCTGCCCGAGAGCCGTTACCTAAAGACGGCACGATATAATTGATTTATTTCACAGGAAAATAAATATTGCAATTGCTTCTCTAGATTATTTGGGTTTTTTCTTCGTTTTACAATCGATTACCGAATTGGAATTCCCAGAAAGTATTTCATTTGGCCCGTTTGCATTTCATGAATGTTCAGGTCATTGGGCGTCAGAATTTCGTAATGTTCGTGTCCCAGGA